CTTTTTGCATTTGAAGGTGCAATTAAATATTGAAAAAAAAATATGATCTCGGTTAGGAAAATTTCCGAAATCCATTGAGAAGCAAAGCCGCATAGAAAATATACAATGTCCCTTGCGCTGCAGTTGATCAATTTATTCTATCAAAATTTAATAAATTCTATTCATCTGGAAAATAATTTCGTACCTCTAAATTTTGACAACCGCCAAATTTCGATGATACGAAATATTTAAATTACACAAACCCCAAATATGTCTAACTTCACAACGAAATTTCGAAAAAATTTAAATGCAAATTTACAGCAGGACCATTACCCCAAAAATTGAAAACATAAAGCGGACTCCCGTTACAAAGTAGATCAAAGAAAAATTTGCTCAAAATAATCGACCTGCATCAGACAAATTAGTAGATTCAAAACTTCAAATCCTGATATTGTAAGAGGTGGTCAATATCTGGGAGTCATCATTGACTCCCGCCTGACCTGGAAAGGGCACATTGAGCGCATAAGCAAAAAGGCCACTGCATGTCTATGGGCATGCAGAAGGGCTTTTGGTTGTACATGGGGCTTGAACCCTCGACTGGTATACTGGCTTTACACTGCAGTGATAAGGCCAATAATACTGTATGGTGCACTTGTATGGTGGCCTGCCATGCGCAGGGTAACCTACAGGAAGCAGCTAGGAAAGGTCCAGCGACTCGCCTGTCTGGGAGTCACTGGAGCCCTAAAAACCACGCCAACCTTGGCCATGGAGGCACTTCTGGGACTAGAGCCTTTACACTTAGCTGTGGAGGCAGAGGCTCGGAAAGCTTCCATACGGCTAAACGATTGGGATGAATGGAAGGATCGAGGCAGCCTTGGGCACGGGCGGATCTGGGAGGAAACCCTCAGAACCGATCCCCTCCTTGCAAGGAGGGACGTGATCCGGGCTATCTTGCTAAGACCAAAGCGTTATAAAGTCATTCTCCCGGATAGGGAGCAGTGGCTGAACTCGGATTGCCCGTTCCTCAAACCTGAGGGGCTCGTGTGGTTTACAGACGGGTCCCAAACAGAAAGGGGGACGGGCATGGGTATATATGGTGATCGACCGAGAGCCAGCGTCAGCGTCTCCCTTGGTCAGCATAGCACCGTGTTTCAGGCAGAGATGTTAGCCATCATGACCTGTGCACAGGAAAACCTCCGTAGAGGTTACCGTAACAAGCATATATACATATGCAGTGATAGTCAGGCGGCGTTGAGGGCCCTGTCGGTAGACAGGTTCCGATCAGCTACGGCGCTTGATTGCAGGCGAACCCTAGATAGATTAGGCGAGTCTAATAGGGTAAGCTTGATTTGGGTGCCAGCGCACTGCGGAATAGGGGGCAACGAAAGGGCGGACGAGTTGGCTCGCGAAGGCAGTGGTGGGGTCTTCGTCGGGCCCGAGCCTACCCTAGGGATTGCTCCCTCCGTTGTTAGGGCCAGGATTAAAGATTGGTTGACCAGTCAATTCCAGGCTCAGTGGCAACAAGTAACCGGACTCCGACAGTCCAAGGCCTTTCTAACAGGGCCCGTTGGCAAATCGGGGTCTTCTAAGCTTCTAAAACTGAATAGAAGCCAGCTTAGGAAGATCACTGGTGTCCTTACGGGACACTGGATGGTCAACTATCACCTGCATAACATTGGGCTCGCGGAGGAGTCAACGTGCAGGTTCTGTGGCGAGGCAGATGAAACTACCGAGCATGTGGTCTGTCACTGTGATGCTTTGATCAGGGACAGATATCAACTCCTTGGAGACAGATATCTGGAACCGAGGAGGGTGAAGCAACTTAGGCTAAACAGGGTCCTATCCTTCATTGAGAGGAACGGGCTCTGAACTCAGTTGCGAAGAAAGGGGGTAGGCACAATGGGCCTCTGATGTGCCTAAGTGCTGCCCGGTCGGGCTCCCCTGCGAATAGAATAGAGAATAGAAGAGGTGGTCACTTTAAGCCTTAAAGTTTTGTTTGAGTGACAAATTTGCCCGTATAGGAAATTTTATACGTGTGCCACTTGATAGCGAAAGAGAACGGAACTAATATGCAATAGAATGGAGCGCGTTAAAATAAGAAACTTGTGCTCAAGCAGATAAGTTGAAACGTTAGAGTGTTGCCGGTTTTATAAACCGTCGCGTCGGAGAGCGAGAGGGGTGCTCTCCGCTATGTATAAAAAAACAGCGTGATCGCGTTGGTTGCGGTGGATCGGTTTCGTATTTGAGATTAGACGCATGCTTAAATAAAAATCTGGTGGGAGAACGGCATTTTTACTTCTGAGGCAGGTCGAGTGCTTTAGATTGCGTAAAAACAGAATTTTTCTCCAAGCTTTCAAGGAGGCGAAAATGGTGATTTTGTATACGTCATTTTTGAGATCGTGTGAAACTTCATTGTTAGTTAAACGTTCGAACCGAACGCCGTATAATCGAAGTATACGAAAATATTTGTCAGCGGCGTAGTCGTAGGTACGTCATATTGTATTACGAAAGTTTTCAAGTGAAAACTGCCGCAAGTTCGACAAAATTTATTGCTGAGTGTATTTTAAATTCGTTATGAGTTGCCATTACGAGTTAAATGGCGGATTTTAAGAAAAAAAAGGGAACTTCTTCGTGTAATAGCCGGAAACATTGTGAAGCGTTCCCGTATTAATACGTGAGCGAACATTTTTCGTCTATTGTCACCACGAAAGCGTTGGGGTCCAAGGTGCAAAACATTCGATTGCGCCAGATTTGTAGTGGCAAGTTACGTAAAGAACCAATCTAATAATTAAATTTGTTTATACTAGGTGCTCATAACATTATAAATAAAACCGCAACCGGTAAAAAGGTTAAAAACAATTAATTTGTGCGTTTGGTAGCTGCAAACTCTAAGTAATAGGGCAATTTGGAACATTTCCATACCGCGGGACATTGGTAATTTTTCCTATAAACAAACCAAATTAGAACTAATAAATTGTGAGGAACCTGAAACGCGGTTGTGTCGATTTCAAATCCATCAATCATTTTGTGAGTTTCACTTTCAACGAGTAACCAGATAAAGGCGCTCCACCACCGAATTTTCAAAATAGCTGCTGCCTTCCAAACGAGAAAATCAGTATAAATGTAGGTTAATTAAATTTTTGAAACCGTATCAAAAAATCAATTGAATACTTATTTGAGAGTGGTCAAACCAGAGCATCAGATTTTAATTTTCAGATTAAAAGTGGAGATAAAGAACCAACATGCCGCAAGATAACAGTAACATTTATTCCTTACTGAGCTAGTCGTGGCATTAATTATTTCATTAATAAAATTAACTGTTATAGTAAAGTTCGAGTCGAGTTTGTTAGTTTTCACATTGGACGAGCAATGGCTGAGTTTGATGGTCCTTGCTGTAAAACGTAAGGGAACCTTTTTAGCGCATTTCCACAAAAATAAAAAGAAATGCGCTATTGTGGTCATTTTGTCCGTCCGCCCGTCCGTCCGCTATTGTTCTACTTTTTTCGCTATTTGTTTCGTTATGGTGTCGAGGTTTGCACCAAGGAAGGAGTTCTGCGTTTATTGCTAAAAAAGTTATTGTAAAAAAACCAACAAACCGTTTTTTACATGTTCCATAATTTTACACTTTTGCCGTTTATTAACGATCCTAGAGATCGTTTATAATTTTGTATTACTATCTGTTGTCTGTCTGTTGGTCTGTTCGTTTGTCTGTCTGTCCCTCTATCTGTCCGTGTGAACGATAACTTTGGTTAGAAATGTCATATCGCGTTGACATCTCCGTTAGTTATGAACTGAATTGCATGAAATTCAATATGGGCCATATATGCCATAGAATACGCAATGCCAAAAGTTGAGTCGAATCGATTCAAAATTCACAGTGCCCTTTTCGCGTCTCGACCATTTATAAACCGAATTGCAAACTTTTTGATTTATAAAAGTATTTAAATGAAATTTGATACATAGGCACTTGGAATAAAGGAAAATCTAACGTGGTTTTGCGTATGCGCACTTCCAACTTTCTTATTTAGAAAAGCATTGAAATGAAATTCTTCTTATAAACAGAAATTGAAGTACCACGTCAAAAATGGATTGCACATGTGCAACACTATCTTTCATATTTGTGGCCGGATTTTTACGATTTTAACAGAAGTTGCATCTTACAAATGGGAAATGAATTCAAGTGGAAATGCGCTTTTTGTAAATCGTTTACGATTACTTTTTAACTTGTTATGTTTCCTTGCACTATTCCTTGCCTTGTTTCCTGGTAATTAATTTTTGCGAAATCGTAACCAAGTTGATCTTATTTTTTCAACTTTGGGCATGAACCGGAACGTAACAAACTAGTAACATAAATTCTGAAAACGCTGACTTAACAAAAAGATCATTCATCACGGTGTAGCAAGATAAGAACAGCGACAAGCTTATTTGCAAAGATACAACAAATAGGATACGGAAAACATCACTCACTTGTCAATTTGCCCATGAAAGTAAAGTAATAATGTTACAGTACAAATAAATCGTGTAAGTAAACGATTACCATCAGCCGATGTAAGTAAGGCGAGAGGGAGATTTTTGCATGCGACTTCCTCTGACGGAAAGAAAGTAACGAGATGACCAATTCTATGAAATGTAAACCAAATAGAAATTACACACGTCGTACTTCTAACTGTTGTTTTACGGTCGTAAAATTGCGAAAATTATTTCGAGTTAGATAAATAATGCTAACTGTACGTTCTACAATTATTATCCAATTCCCTAAAAAAACGTTGTGGCGGTTAATTGAAAGATTGCCGTTACTATTCATTTTATTATTAAATCCTAAACTTATCTAAGAAAAAATCGTGCCATGAACGCACTCGCGTTCAGTAGAGCGTAAAATGTTTCTTGAAAGAGTTTTTTCCAAGTTTCAAGCGTAGATTTTTTGCTTTGTCGAAGAATTACTAGGAAGCTACCCGATTGTGAAACGCAGATTGGTAGTAGCTATATAGTAATTTCTGTAGCCTATGATATGCCACTTAAATCAATTATCTAAACGATTACGTTTGCTTTCAGGACGAGTGAACTTATAGCGTTAATGGCAATTTCTACAACGCTATTTCTATTTATTCACACGAGGGATTTGAGTAGCAAGTTAAAGGAGATGGAGGTGAAAATGCAGCCGGAAGACATGGTTTCTGCCAATCAAATCAGTTCCGGTAAGTGATCGTGATCATTGGATCATCGCTTAAGTTACCCTTATTTACCGATTGACAACAGCCGTTTCTTTGCAATTGAATTTTACGAGCGGAAACATTCTTGTTGGCCATTTTGATGTTGAATAGGACGAACCCTTTCAACCTCTGAGGGGTTTAAAGTAGAGGCACCATACGTCTAACGCCCAGCGTATTATTTCATTTAAAATTACACGCTACATTTTTACGTGGAGTTGGTTTGGCACATTATTTTCTAACCTAATCTTATTTCGCACACTCTAAAACAATAGTTATTTACGAGGTTATTTACATAAAAGTCAGGAAAATGACACATTACTCGAATTCGTACTTAATCATACTCGCAAACATCCATTTTCTAGACCTGTGATACAAACAATTATTGTACATTTTCTTTTAAAAAAACATTACAATCTCTGAGATAATAACATTACAGGTTGTGCTGGTTGTTTATACGATATCCATCCATATCTAATTCGTTGCAAAGAAATCTTAGATGGAAGTAGACATAAAATTTTAATACTTAGGCAGATTAGTAATAATTTACCTCAACGTACAATTACCTAAGTTAGATTATGTTTTATGTCTGTTATGCAACATACGCTAATGAATTATTTCCGGAGACGCTGTTTCGGAATTTGAAACATGCATAACTCGCCTGTGGTGGTACCAAGTGAAACTTTGGAAATTAGGGTATAGTATGTGGGGGGCTGGTTCTACTCTTCATGGTATTCAAATGAAAGGTCTTATCGAGAGGAATTAATATTTACCAACTCCCTTCTCCAATGGCCCCTCATCGTAATCGATGGGTGGGTGTGGCTTTAAATACCACCATTGAATAAAATTCACGGTCCATAGGCCTCAGATCCCCAGTTGTATATTTTCAACCAAAAACGAGTAGTGCCCTTGAGTACTCACACTATAGATTTTGGGAAGGGACCTTTGAATGTATGGAAAGAAAAGAAGTAAAGAAAGGAAAATTTGATAGATTTTCAAGTACCTATAACGAGATGAAAGTTTTAGGGTAGGACCCCCCCCCCCACACCTCAAAGTAAAGAGAAATTTGATGATCCTCTTTCTCCACAATCATTATCATCATTAAATAATTCGTATGCTCATACGAATAAAGTCTTCGTATGGTATGGAATACCTCCCAGGCACAAATACTCCCCAGTAATTTCATGATCCTCTTTCCCTACACTCATGATCGTCATTAAATCGTTCGTATGAATGAAGTCTTCGTGTTTTCATACCTCCCACACCCCTCGGTTCTACCTTTAAATGTATTCGATTGTTTTTACTATGTATGAGTCCTTGGGTCGAAAATTTTAACGTAGACGGCAGTTGCGGGGGTCTGGGGGGGAGGGGGTATAGAACCTCAAATACACCCCAGTAGTTTGGTGATCCTCTTTTGCTACAATCGTGATCATCATTAAATCATTCGTATATCTTATACGAATTAAATCTTCGTTTGCTGAGGGGTATTCCATACTCCCCAGACTCCCCGGTTCTGTTTTCAACCAAAACGAGTAGTGCCCTTTAGTACTCGCCCTATACAGTTCGGGAAGACACCTTTGAATGTATGAAATACTTGCCAAAAAAGGAAAATGCGATTTTTTTTTTAAATATTAATATTAATTAATCGGGTATAGTTCCTCATATGAAAATTCCGTTTCTAACAGAACTTGCTAAAAGAAAATTGAAATGTACCGGGTGACCCAATAAGACTGTTCCTCGGCCATATTTCAAAAACAAAGATGCTGTGGGGCGTTCAATTGTTTTTGCAATAACCTGCTTTAACTTCTTAACCGTTTGACCCATTTTAACAAATTTGGTATGGTTGAAAAGAGCATTCCTTGGGCAATGAAAATCAAAATCAAATATAGTTAATTTAGTTGAATCCTCCTCCGCCAGGGGGTTAGTTTTGACACTATGACCCATAATCCTAAAAAAATTTAAAAAACCAAATGGAATGATATGACTCTTTCTTTATGAAAAAGTAGCCAAATAACACCCAAAGAGGCCAGTGAAAACCGTTTTTTCAAAATTTCGTTCATAACTTCAAATATTGGGAAAATGAGATTAATTAATTAATTAATAAAAATGCTTTAATTGTATCTTAAACTTACTTTTTACGTATTTCCGGTATTTGTCGATGGCGCGAAAGAAAAGCACCCTACACTTTTAGGTGTGCCCTGGAAAATTAAACAAATGAAACACGATGCATTATAAAATAATAACAGCCGTAATCTGTAAATTATTCTGCTGTGTTTACATTCAGAAAGTGCAGTTTTTTGAATTTATAATCTTTTCTAAAATGTCGATTTCTAACCAAGAAGCATTTAATATGCTGGCGATATATTTTGAGTATTTTCAAAATGCGACCATCGCTGCCCACATCTTCTATTTGCGTTACCCGCATCGACCAAGAACCATCGCCGCCAGCATATTAAATACTTCTTGGTTAGAAATCGGCATTTTAGAAAAAATTACAAATTCAAAAAACTGCACCTTCTGAATGTAAACACAGCAGAATAATTTACAAATTACGGCTGTTATTATTTTATAATGCATCGTGTTTCATTTGTTTAATTTTTCAAGGCCTACCCAAAATGTAGGGTCCTTTTCCAAACAATCCTTCGCGCCATCGACAAATACCGGAAATACGTCATATAAGATACAATTTAAGCATCTTTATTAATTAATTAATTAATATCATTTTCCCTATATTTAAGGTTAGGAACGAGATTTTGAAAAACGGTTTTCACTTGCCTCTTTGGGTGTTATTTGGTTACTTTTTCATTAAAAAAAATGTCATATCATTCCATTTAATTTTTTTGATTTTTTTAGGATTTTGGATCATAGTGTCAAAACTAGCCCCCTGGCGGAGAAGGATTGAACTAAATTAACTATATTTTGGTTGATTGGCCATTGCCCAAGGAATGCTCTTTTTAACCATAACAAATTTGTTACAATCGGTCAAACGGTTAAGAAGTTAAAGCAGGTTATTGCAAAAACAATTGAACGCCCCACGCCATCTTTGTTTTGAAATAATTGAGTTTTTGTTTTTACGAAAATGATAGGTAAACTGGTTCTCTTTAAAAATGTGAAAAAAGAATGTTTTGTTTATTATGCGAAATTTAAAGAAAATGCAATTTTAAAATTAAAGATTGCAGTTACGCCCTCTGCTGGTTATTTTTAGAACTTGAAAATATTTTCCAGCGATTTTTATACCCGATTTATCAATAATTTTTTTACCCAATATAACAATATCGTAAGCGGATATGGACTCAAAAAAAGTGTTGGAAAACGACGACCGACCCGTTCAGGGCGTAAATAAATTGTCTTATGTTACTTATTTTTAAATCTAAACACTTAATGTAAGGAAAGTAGAAAGAGAGTTTCAGGTCAGTCTTCGAAACTCGATGGCAGAGCAGAGAGAAGTTAATAAAAATGTGGAAATGAATTTCAAATATCGCCGTACTTCAAGGTTCTTTTCATTTAGCATTGATTAATTGAATTAAATACGTATAATAATTTGCACGTAGCTTGATAATTTGCAAAACTTGCGTGTGGTTTAATTGCTTAAAAATAAATTCAGCTACTGAGGACATAATTTCATTGAAATTAATGGGGCAATTATATGTTGCGCTGATGTTCATTACTTTATTTTATCGAAAATTAAGCCAAATTATGTACCCGGCCAACGCTTATTATTATCACTTAAAATTTAGCCTTTGCGAAATTCAGGATACGACTAACGTCAATAATTGACGCAAAGGCTAAATTTTAAATGATGATAATTATTATTATTTGTAACTGAAATTAAGTTTGCCCAAATATGCGAGCAGCTAAAGTATTTAGCTCAGAGGATTAATTATTCCCTTTTGCTTGTCTCCTTTCTACTTCTACTGTATCTTTTAATTTTAAAGGGTTTTAGCAGTTGTCAATTGAGATTCGGGCTTTGATTTCTCTCCTTCCACTACTCTTTTTCGAAATCGGTTATAATATTAATCCCTCGTATCGCGGGAACGGAATGCCGGAGGAGGGTACTTACAAATGCTATTGGAACGTCTGGGCGAGATAGATAATATTAGTGATGTCGAAACTTACGTGCCAATTTCTCGAAAAGGAGTGTCAGAGTGGGAGCTGAAACTATTATCGAACTGTAGTGCGATCACAACCCTAAACCACAAAATTGTAAAAAAATCTTCTAACTACATCACTGGTTGATAATGTATTATTTATGAATTATATCTCGGCAAGTTATAAAACGAATTGATTGATGTTCTTGTAGTAATATAGAAATTTTCGTCCGTTTGTAATTTGCGTTACGCAAACGAGCACTTTCTACAGCAGTAAAAACTAAGTGCCCATTAGGGAATTATTACGATTAGCCTAAAACATAAGTGGTAATAACGCAATGCATGATCAGTAGAATCTTGGCGGAACTACTACACATATAAATGATGGCAATTAAAATGAACATGGATGAAACAAGTTAGTTGAAAACGGTATGTATTTCATTTTAAAAAAAACTTAATTACTTAAATCACGAAAGATATCTAAGGAAATGGTGATTGCTTTCTTGTGGTCCTAGATGTAAACGCATCCGCTATAAAAATAGGCAAAATTATATTGAAACTGATTTTTTGTGTAAAGTATCCTGATACATAGTCAAGTAGAAATCGTCATGTCTGCAAGCGAGATCCCTTGGCTTAACGCTGAGAGATGCGGTTAAAAATGTCAAATTTTAATCAAAATTTACAACTTTCCGACTATTTGAGCGTTAACCGCGGTGTAGCCAATAGTATTGCGGGCGTATTCGTAAAATTTGGAAACGATTCGTGTTTGGGAGGCCATTGTTATTAGTACGAAAATCTAATTAAAATTTCAATGAGACTAGATTTTTTGGGACCAGTATTTGTGTTTGGAACGTAAACTATAATAACGCGAGTTCCGGTAGTTATCGTTAAAGAAGAAGT